GTCCCAGGGCCCCTTCACATCCGAGGGACCACGCGCCGCTGCACTGTGGGATTTCGCACCGCCCGAAGAACTCTCTTCGGATCGAAGTTTCTGGAATCTCGGGCCACGAAGTTCTCTGAAGAGTTTTTGTTGTTACCCTGGCCATCCTGTGGTGTTGGGTCCTCGTTCTGAAGAGAGAGAGAGAGAGAGAGAGAGAGAGAGAGAGAGAGAAAGAAAGAAACAAGAGAGAGAGAGAGAGCGCCCCGCGTTCCTTCCGTCCCGTTGCCCCCCTTCTCCTCCCATCGTCGTCATCATCATCAACAATATGGCCAACATCATCGCCATCGTCATCAGTATCGTCGTCATCGTCATCGCCATCGCCATGATCCTTATCATCATGGCCGTCATCATCACCATCATCATCGTCATCATCACCATCACCGCCATACCCCCAGCATCGTCCTCATCATCGCCGTTATCCTCACCATTATCGCCAGCTTCGACACAACCCGCACACGTTTCGTGGCCCCGTAGGAAGCTCCACCGAAGGCCCCAGTGGCAGGGTTCGCACGCTTCCCCCCGCCCATTCCGGCACGCCCCTCACACGGTTCGTGGCCCCACAGGGAGCTCCGCCGAAGGCCCCAGTGGCAGGGCTCGCATGCGTCAGCCGCGCCCATGTCGGCACACCCCCACACGCTTCGTGGCCCCATGGGGAAATAAGCGGTTGGGCGCATGTGTCGACATCGGCAGGGGGTCGCATGCGAACCCTGCCACTGGGGCTTTCGGCGGAGCCCACTGTGGGGCCACGAACCGTGTGAGGGGCGTGCCGGAATGGGCGGGGGGAAGCGTGCGAACCCTGCCACTGGGCCCTTCGGTGGAGCTTCCTACGGGGCCGCGAAGCGGGCGGTGCGTGTCCCCGCCCATTTCGGCACGCCCCTTCACGCGGGTCGCGGCCCCATAAGGAGCTCCACCGAATGCACCGATGGCAGCGGTTGCGTGCGTCAACCCCGCCCATGTCGGCACCACCCCTCACGCGGTTCCTGGCCCCATAGGAAGCTCCGCCGAAGGCCCCAGTGGCAGGGTTTGCATGCGCCCCCCCCCCCCCCTTTTTCGGCACAACCCGCACACGTTTCGTGGCCCCATAGGGAGCCCCGCCGAAGGCCCCAGTGGCAGGGGTCGCATGCGTTCCCCCCGCCCATTTCGGCGCAACCCCCACATGCTTCGTGGCCCCATTGGTAGCTCCACCGAAAGTCCCAGTGGCAGGGTTCGCATGCGCCCCCCCGCCCATTTCGGCACACCGCTCACGCGCTTCGTGGCGCCGTAGGGAGCTCCACCGAAGGCCCCAATGGCAGGCTTCGCGCGCGTCCCCCCGCCCATTTCGGCACGCCCCTCACACGGTTCGTGGCCCCATAGGGGGCCCCGCCGACGGCGCCAGTGGCAGGGTTCGCATGCGCACTCCCACCCTTCGGTACACCCCTCACACGCATCGTGACCCCGTGGAGAGTTCCGCCGAAGGCCCCTGCTCCTCCTCCTCATCATCATCCCCTTTCCTCCTCCCTCGAGCTCGACGGGCAATCGATGATCGCAGGTGTTGACCGAAATCGGCTGTGCGCCGACGTTCCACGAATGGCGCCGTCGCTGGGGCCCTCCTGGTGAGGAGTGCCGAGGTCTGGTTTCGAGGGGAGCACCAGACCTTCCCCTAAGCTCAGCGGAACATTGCCTTACCTTTCCATACCATACCTCGTGGCGCCCTCCTGCTGAGGAGGGAGCGCCGAGGTCTAAGTTGGAGCGCACCGGAGATGGGCAGGGCACGTCCCGAGAGCGGCGGGGACAGGCGGCGCAGGGGGGGGAGCGGAGGGAACAGGGCCACCAGCACGGAGGGAGGAGGAGCTGGAGGATCGGTGTCGAGGAAAAGGAGGATGGGGGAGGAGGGAGGAGGAGGGGGAGCAGGAGGAGGAGGAGGAGGCGGCGGAGGAGGAAGAGGAGGAGAAGGAAGCGGAGGAGGAGGAGGAGGAGGAGGAGGAGGAGGAGGAGGAGGAGGAAGGGGAGGGCGTGGGAGAGGTGGAGAAGTTCGACGATGATTGTGAGTGTGATTGTGATGGATATGGTGATGGTGATGGTGATGCGGCTACGGTTGCTGATGATGATGGCGTTGCTGGTGATGATGACGAGGAGGAAGGGGGGAGGAGCAGAAAGGTGAAGAGTGGCGGGGCGAGGGTAAGAAAAACGAGATGAGGAGGATGATGTTGTAGAGGAAGCACCAGAGCATAATAACGGAGGAGGATCAGCAAACGGAATAAGACTGAGGAAGATGAGGCTACGGTGGGCGAGGAGGAGTACAGGTGGGAAGGGAGGGGTGGTGAAGTAGGAACGGATTGTTGATGACGGACCTCTTCGTCCTCGTCCTCGTCCTCGTTGCCTTTCTCCTTCTTCTTATTCTCTTCATCTGTTCTTTATTTGTCCTCTATCCGCTCCTCGACGTTCCTCCTTCTTGCGAGGGTAGGCTCTCCCCGTTCCAGGCCGACTCCAGCGACAGCGGCCCGGCACCAGCCCTGAACGACTCCGTCAGCGACGAGGCTCCGTTGCAGCCTCTTCTCCTCGTCCTGTCCGTTTCCTCTTCCCGCCTTGTTCCTCCTCCTTCCCCACCCTTAACACTCACGCCCTCCTGTACTCCCCTTGCTCCCGATAATCTAACATCCCCCCCTCCCCATCAACCTCATGATTATCGCTGGCCAAGGCGGTTTGGGTCGGCGATAGGGAGCGGCGGCTCCGAACTGCCTATACCACCAGGGAAAGTACCAATCGTAGATTCAACCTTCCTGCCACAAGCAGCTGTAGCGTCATCACCATCAGCAGCATCATCAGTATCCGCCCCCATCCATTAAACTTGCGCCCTCATGTGGTGATTACCGTTCGTGGGTCGGGGAAGCGTACGACTCCAGTACGCCAGAACTCGGGTTTGCCGACGCTTCTTGACGAGCGAGTCCTGGATTTTGACGGCCCAGTTTTCGTGGGATGTTTGCAACAGGAGTTCGCGTCACGTTTCAGACGGTCTCGTCATTTTCATGAAGGCCCCGTCAGGCCAACCCGAGTCCCCCGAACCCGAGTCTTCATCGGGGGCAACGATGAGGGGGGATAATAATAGGGGGGATGCATCGAACCCCCATCGCCCATTGATCGCCGATCGGGGCCCGATAGGCCCAGCCTGCACCGGAAGGTGCGGATTCGCTCCCGGAGGCCTGTCGCCGATCTGTCGGCGATGTGTATCGCCCCTTCGAGGTCGAGGGGTCCCCCCCCTATGCCCCCCTATGACTGCCCGTCACTTACACCCTGGGCGATGCTTAAGAAAACTTGCGTTTTCGGCCAGAGTCTCGATGATTCTTAATGTTTCAATGTGAATCCTAAGATTTCAATCGGAATTCTGAGTTTTTATTTGAATTCTGAGACTATGAATTTCTTAACCCATGATTTCTTAACCATTTCGCAGGGTGTACGTCGCCCCGATGGGATCTCGTCCTCCGCGTCCTCGCCTCGTCTCCTCCTCGAGCGGGTCCCGATCCCGCCAGCCTGCCGTCTCCTCCTTGTTCGGCACCCCGGGGCCGCCCGACCCCGCCCGCGTTTTGTTCGGTGTGGGGCCGTCGCCGAAACCGTCCCGAACCGTCTTGTCCCTTCGGCGCCAGGCGAGGGAAACTCCACCCGTCGTATTGGCCTTTACATAAGGGGAACGAGCACTGGCATAAACATAAAAACTCGGAGGTCATGTCTAGTCGGTGGCGGCCCGCGTTGTTCGGTGTTGGGCCATCGCCGAGACCGTCCCAAACCGTCTTGTCCCTTCGGCGCCAGGCGAGAGAAACTCATCCCATCGTCTTGGCCCTTACATAAGGGGAGCGAACACTGGCATGAACATAAAAACTCGGAGGTCATGTCCAGTCGGTGGCGGAGCAGGCTCAGATATTCGCCGTGCGCATGGCTGCTTGCACCGCCCGTGCCGCACGCCGTGCCAGACGTGTTGACGTCCCGTGGGTGACGCCTCCCAGGGAAAGCGCACTAGGTCAAGGGGGGAGGCTCGGGGGGCGCGGTCCCCCGTCCCGACGCGCTCTGGTTCGGAGGATGTTGTGGGGCAGCGGCGCCATCCTGGCCCCGCTTGCGTGCACTGACGCAAACAACAACGGAGGCGGCCTGCGTAGACGTGCGATCTCTGCGCCAGTGTGACCCGAGCACAGCCGAGTTCGATTTCGACACTGGGTCCGAGAAGTTCTGCTGTGGTTAGTGGCGAGTTTCGACATCGAAGAGATCCGACAGTAAACATTCGTATCGTTGCGGTTTACTGGGGTCACCCGCGAATGCGTCGACCCATGGCTTTCGCAAGTGTTGGTGCAGGCGGCCTGATCAAGTGCGCGATGGTCGGATTTATGAGTGAGTGTGGTGTGCTCAGATCGGCGTGGGAGAAAGGGCATAGGGAGTATCTCATTCTCTGATGACTTTCTCACCCCAAGGCAACGCACGCATGCTTCGGAACCGCGCGCATCAGTTATGTAAGTTAACGGTCGGCGTCGAAGGTGTCGGCGACCTGCAATTGCGCGCGCCCGGCGTCGCCGACAGCCAGTTGGCGACGCTCATGGCACTGCAGCGCGAACTTCCCCACGAACGCCCGACAACTCACCCGCATGAGCTAATGACTGCCCTGACTTCGACATGTGTTGGAGGGGCCGCCAGGTGACCTCGCCTCTGCGATCTGGCGGTCCGCCGTGCCCAGGTGCGCCCGCGCGCCTCTGGTGACCAAAGCTGGGGCAGGGCTGGACCAAAACGGTTTTTTGTGTTTCCGTGGGCCGCATTCGCTTCGACTTCGTTTTGCAGCAAAAGCGGATCGGAGACAAAAGCGAAGGAAAACGAACACAAAACGACCGCGAACAACACTGTTTAGCTTCAGCCCTGAGCTGGGGTGGCCAAGGGCCTCGTTTTTGGCGCCGGGCCCCAGTGGGTCGAGCGCCAGGGGCTCGGCCCCCGTGCTCGGCGCGCAGGCGTGCCTGCCCGGTCGCTGGAGCCGATGCGAGCGCCGACTTCAACGCCGCCGGTTCCGTCGGCGACGGCGGGCGCGCCGTGGGCGACGCGCAGTGGGCGCGTGGGCCCGGCCTCTCGGCGAAGTTCTGCGGGGCTGGCGAGCGCCGCGCGGCCCGGCGACGGGGGGCGCGGGGCGCGTGCGAACGAGCCAGCGCGCGCAGCCCGCAGGGTTCCTCGAGGAGAAAGCATGGGGAAGGGCAAGCACGCGCGGGCCTTCCTCGCCCGCGCGGTCGAGCGCCGCGCCGGGGGCGCCTTCGTGGGGCCGGGCAGCGGCAGCGGCCGCAGCGAGGTCGAGCTCGGGGGCGCAGGTGATCGCGCAGTTCGGCCGCGACGGCAGTCTCGCAGGGCGCGACGGCTGGCGCCGGCGGCGTCGCGAGCGCGCGCGACTCCCCGATTGCCCGCGGCGTCGAGGACAGCGGCGGGGCCTCGGGCCCTTCTTAGGCGACTTCGGAATGCGCGATCCACCGCTGCTGCCAGCGCCGCCCCTCGGCCGTCGGACCTGCGTGGCCGACCAGACGTTCCGGCGCATGTAGTTCCGCCGCCTGCCGCAGATCTTGGACTGGCACGTTCGACCAGCCGCCGCCTGCAGTTTCCATTGTTTCGGAGCAGCTGCGTCCCGGGCCGAACGCTGCCAGCGGCGAAGCCGAGGCGCTGTTTGCATCTCGCGGCCGGGGCGCCGCGGGCCCAGCGCGGGCGGGGCTCTCCGGCGCGCGGGCAGTTCCGCGGTTCGCTGGGCGTCTCCGCGCGCCTGCGCGACGCGCACGCATGTTTTCGAGTCGCGCGTGTCGCGCGTTCTCTTGTCATGGAGAGCGTTCGGCCCCCGCCGCGTGCGTCTGCCCTGCAAATTTCTGCTCGCGCGACGTTTCTCGCCGAGCGAGCTTCTGTCGGCGCGGACATGCTCGCGCCCGCCCCGCGCCGGCGCTGCAACGTCAGCAGTGCACTTGCGGTCGTTGCCGGCGAAGTTCGCCCCTGCTGCGCTGAGAACGCGCGTCGCGAGATCCGCGACAAGCTCGGCCAGCCATCCATTGAGCGCGTGGCATCCTGTGCGAGGTCGCGATGAAGTCGCTTCGCGGCTTTGCGACGCCCGCGCGCGCTCGCAGCCGTCTACCGCGCGCGACCGTGGGGGGTGCGTCTGAGATGAGTTATCCCAAGTGCTCGCGACTGCGAGTTTTTCGCCGCCGCCTCTGCCGGGCTGCCCCCCACCCTCTAGACCCCAGCGCGAGGCGCGCGTTCCTCGAAGAAGGGCCCCTGGAAGGCGACGGTAGATCGCGCTCGTTGAGCGGCGTCTGTCTGCGACCCCGTCGCGGTGGCAGCTTGGCCCTCGCCGGGGCGGTGCCGGCCTTGATTGCAGACGGGGCCTCCTCTTTTGGCCGCCGGGCAGGCCGGGGGGGCATCTGGGGCGCGTCCGCGTGATCTCATGTCTCCGGCAGTCGGTGGCCAAAGTGATGAGCATAGCGCACTGGGCGCTGCCCCGCGCCGCGCGAGCCGCTGCGTCGGGGGTGCCCGCGAGCGCCGCGGACGGTCATCTCGCCGCCGTGGCAGGGCAGATCAGCTTTTTGATTTTTTTTGGCCCCAGTTTTCGCGCGGCAAAATTGGCGCGCGCCCGGCGTCCAGGGGGCGCGCTGGGGGCGACCAGAACGGCGCCTGAAGGGGCGCTCGGGGGCGCGCCCAGGCGGGCCCAGACGAGCGCCGAGGACGGCGCCCAGGAGAGCGCCATCAAGACTGCCCGGAGTATCGCCCAGACGCGAGCTCAGGAGAGCGCCCGAAAAAACGCTTGGAGATGCGCCCAGAAGCGACCGAATTCGCGAAAGATTTTCGTTTCGTTTCAGGACAAACAATCGGGCGCAAAATCGGACGTGCATCGCGCCCCAATCGGGCGCAAAATAGGGCGCAACATCGGGCGCAAGTGGCGTCGAAGTTTTCTGCGCGAGTGAGGGGCCGCGTCGCGGCGCACCATTGCGAGGTCTGGTCGGGCGAAGCTCTGGACTTCGTGCGCGCCATTCAGCCTTGGAGTTCAGCGTCGTGTCGGATGACAAGTGGCGATCCCAGGTTGTGTCGAAGTCGGACCCAGTCGATCAAAGAATCGGGCCCCCGCTTCTGCGGTCGTTTTTGCAGGTGACAGATGGGCGCAGGCAGCAGGTTGGATGCGTCCACCATGTCGCCCGCGCGCCCGGCACTCCTGCGGGCTGGGTGCCATCTGCCCCGAGGCCGTGTTCAGTGGCAGTCTTACAGGAGTTGCTGCTTTACGACTACATGTCCGGTTTATCCCGTTACAGCTCGCACGGCGCACGCGGTCGCCCGATGTTTTGCCCCGGCATTTTCGTGGGCCCACCACTCCTTCATTGTCAGCAGGAGCGAAAATTCGACCCCCGCCCCCATGCGTGCCCCTGGGGGTGTTTGGCCTCGACTGGGTTCGGCAATTGCGATCGCGTTGCAGCGTCGGAGACGCCGTCGTTCGACGCCCGAGCCAAAACGAAATCGGGGGAGGAGGAGGGCGGGGGAGGGTGAGTGGAGCGGAGGATGGTGGAGGGAATGAAGGGCGGAGGAGGGGGGCGGAGGGTGATGGGGGAGGTGCCCTCGCGATTTCCCTCATGCCGACCCCCCCCGCCCACTCCCCCTGCCGCGTCTTGGCAGTTCGATCGCGGGGGGCCCGGCGGCCGCAGGCCAGCGCGTGATTTCGTTTCTCTGCGGCCCACTTGGGCCTGATCGAGCGATGGCCAACATTGTGCTTCTAGAGACGTGGTGCAGCGCGCGACGCGATGGGGGGTCAAACGCGCGCGCCCCCCCCCCCCCGCCCCACCCCCGGCGCGCGCCGCGCGCGCTATCGCGCGCTGGCCGCGTCGAGGCCCAACGAAGAACGTCGGAGGCGTCGATTATCAGGCCCGGACAGTCGGCCAAACAATAACATATGCGTCGCCATTTTGACTCAATCTTTTCTCGGCGAAGCAGTTCTGCCCGGGCGCCGCGCGCGCTGGCCGGCGACGACTCGACGTGGACGGGCCATCCAGGCCCGCGTTCGCAGAGGGAGGCCACGACTGCTGCAGCGTCTCAGTCCTGGAATTGCGACCCCACGCCGAAGAAGCCAGCGAAGGATGGATTACGCGAGCTGTCTCAGCTAGCGCCGGCGCGCTACTTGACGAAGGGCGCGACCGACAACAATGGGAGGGTCAGGAACGAGTCTGCCATCAAACGAGTCAACAATAACCCCATGGTGGACATGGGGGATCATCGTGGCGAACATCGCTTGCGACGCGGAGCAGACCCCAGATCGCGAGAGCTCGCCCCCTGGCGCGAAGCCCCGAGCTGAGATCACATCTGCCAGCTTCAGCAAAGTGGACGACGACATGTACGCCACAGTCTACGCGACCCTCAAAATCGGCATCGCTGAGGACGACGTGGACAACGTCGACGATCATGGCCCCCGGGCTGTCAAAAAAAGTGGAACAGCAGTTCCAGCTCGACCCGAAGGATCACATGCCTGACGAGGCTTGCTTCGTCCCCGCCCTCATGGAGGCGTTGCGGCTGCGCTGCGTTCAGGTCGGCCGCCGCGCAGACAGTTGGAAGCCAGGCGACGTCGACGAGGATGGCAGCACCGATGGCGGCCCAATTGTTTGTTCTGTCCAGTGTGGAAGGACGGGGTCGTCATCAAAATCGTTTACTTCACTAGCCCGACCGCTGATGTGCCCAGGAAGGGCGCGATCCACCGTCGCTTCAGGATGGTGGGCCCCGGCGGTGACAAGATCTGTCATTTCAAGCGCGGTAATTCTTTCCGACGACTTCGCAGATGGCGAGGGCCCCGACGAGTTCTGAGATGTTCCGCCAGCTGGCTATCCAAGAGATCATCGCATCCAGGCGGCAGCTGCGGCGCGCTCGGGCCTCGTCGAGGCCGACCGCGGTTGCGCTCGATAAGAGGGCCAACAGGATCCCCCACGCCGCCTTGACCAGGGCGCGCTTGGACGCAGCATCCAGGCCGGGGTTTCGGGCCAAGACGACGCGGGCGTTTTCGCCGCAGCCTGCGCTGATGGACCGCCCGCCCGCCGAGTCGACCTCCTCCAGCGGCGCCGTGGCGAGCGTCGCTGCAATCGGCCCTGCGCGCGAAAAGAAGGGCGCTGACTCTCCGCTGAAGCGGCCGGCGAAGCGCCAGCGCCGCGAGGTGGTGGCTGATGCAGACTAGCGAATTGTTTTTTTCTGCCATCGCATGGCGCCTCTGCTTCTGGGCGCACGGGGTCTGCTTGGCACGGCGTGCCAGGCCAACCGGGTTCCCCCCCCTGAGGTTCCCTTGCGGAAAAAACACTATGCGGTGACCTTTCTTGTTCCGACATAACACTTGTTCACGAATCCCTTGCAACAAATGAGCCGAAGTGGACACGCGCGCGTCGTCGCGCGCGCAATCCTTCAAAAATCTTCGGTGTCGGAAGGATTTCGCAAACGAGTTTCCCAAACACATGCAACAACACATGGTTTTGCAACACTGATGTGCTAAAAAAGCTTACGCGCGAGCTCTTGCGACATCTTAAGAGAACCGTTGTTTTTTCCAAGAATTACACAACATGCTACCAAACGGGCTTCGAGCGCGCGCACGTCGAAATCTGTCGAACGCCCTTGCGCGTGTGCCGTCGCGAGAATCCTCTGCAACAAATGGGACGAAGTGCAGACGCGCGCGTCGTCGCGCGCGTATGCCGAAATCCTTCAAAACCCATCGGTTTCGGAAGGATTTCGAAATCGTGTGCCAAAACAACCTACAAGAACACAAGGTTTCGCAACACGGATTTTCAACAAAAGCGTGCGCGCGCGCTTTTGCGTCGTCGTCGTCGTCGTCGCCGTCCTCCCTTCTCCCGCGTCGTCGTCGTCGTCGCCTACGTCGTCCTCTGTCTTTCCTCGTGTTCGTCGTCGTCGTCCTCTTTGGCGTCGTGGTCGTTTCCGTCGTCGTTGTCGCCGTGGTCGTCCTTCCTCCTCCTCCCTCGTCGTCGTCGTCGTCCGTCGTCGGCGTCTCGTCGTCGTCCCTCTTATTACGTCGTCGTCGTCGTTGTCGTCGTCGTCGTCTTCCCTCCTCCCTCGTCGTTGTCGTCGTCGGCGTCGCCGTCCTTCCTCCTTTTTCGTCGTTCGCGTCGTCGCCGTCCTCTCCTCGTCGTTGTCGCCGTCGTCGTCGTTGTCGCCGTCGTCGTCCTTCCTCCTCCCACGTCGTCGTCTTCGTTGGCGACGTCGTCGTCGTCTTCGTCGTCGTCGGCGTCGGCGTCGTCGTCGTCCTCGTCGTCGTCGACGTCGGAGTCGTCGTCGTCGCTGCCGTCGTCGTCGTCGTCGTCGTCGGCGTCGGGTCGTCGTCGTCGTCGGTGCCGTTGTCGTCGTCGTCGGCGTTGTCATCGTCGTCGTCATTGTCATCGTCGTCGTCGTCGTCGGCGTTGGCGTCCTCGTCGTCGTCGGTGTCGTCGTCGTCTTCATCGTCGCCGTCGCCGTTGTCGGCGTCGTCGAAGTCGTTGGAGACGTCGTCGATGTCGGCGTATTGGCGGCGTTGTCGTCGTCGTTGTCGCTGTCGTCGTCGGCGTTGCTGCCGTTGCCAAGTGCCACTTGGTACCCACCGTCGCGGTCTTAAGAGATTTTGCAAACCAAGTTGCGGGTGGGTGGGTGGGATGTTTGCGCGAGCAGTGGAGTGGACAACTCACTGCGAACAGAAATTAGTTGCACCACATAGCTTACACCACATAGCTTAAACCACATGGTTTACGCATCCACTGTGTAACAACTTACTGTTTGGGAGTTACGCTGGCTGACATGCTGTTCTTGCTATATGTATTCATATATATATATGTATATATATGTGTGTGTGTTCCTCTACCACTCCCCTGCCATCTTTTATGCCCTGCCTGTCTCTCCCTCTCCCTCTCTCTTTCCACCCTGTCTTGTTGTCCTCCTTCCCTCCCCCCCTCTGGTTCTTTCCTGCCGTCTCTCTCTCACTCTCCCGCCCTCTCTCCTGTCATCACTGCTGCCTGCCTGCGTTCCCTCTCTTCTCTTCCGCGCGAGCGCTGCTCCCCCCCCCCAGATCGTGGCGCTCGCTGCCCGGCCCCCCGACCTTGGGCAATGCCAGCGATCGTCTTGGGCGGCGCGGCCTGGACCCCCCCTCGCATGGCTAGGGGGGGGGGGGGACCCCCCGCGGGCATGGCGCTGTGCTCGCGGGCGCGGCGTGGTGCTGAAGGGCACGCTTTGGTCCGATGCCCGAAAACCATCACGTCACTCATTTTGGGCCCCAGGGCCCACTGAGGCCCCAGGGGCCCCAGATCAGTGAAGTGATGTTTTTCCCGCGTAAGGACCCCGGAATTCATCACATCACTAAGCCGAACCCAAGACGAAAGTCAGGGGCCGACTTGCTGCTGTGACGCAACATAGGTCCTGTATTTGGTGTTCATAAGCGTGTTGTGGCGCTCGCAGGCTCCCCACCTGTTGCGGCGCCGAGCTCACAGGCACAGCGTGGTACTGACATGCATGCGTTGGTGATCATAAAAGTACTGTGGCGTTCGCAGGCTCCCCGCCTGTAGCGGCGCCGAGCTCGCAGGCATGGCGTGGTGCTGAAAGGCACGTTTCGGTGCTTACACGCATGTTGTGGCGCTTGCAGGCTTTTATTGCGTGTGGTCTCCAGGACAGTCCAAGAACACAAGCCTCAATCAGGCTCGGAGGCTTCATCCTCCCAGGAATCTCCGTCACTGTCAGCTCTGCGGCCTCTCTCAGTGGAGATTCGCCCAAACTCTGCCACCCAGTCTAAATCAGATTCAACAAGCCCGAAGCAGCGGAGCACTATTTGGCGCTGCTCCGTCTGGCTCGGGAGAGCCGCCGGGGCAGCATCGGCCCCAGGCGCCTCATGCACCTCTTCGTTCGGTGGTTCAGCCCGCTGCGGCTCCCAAGTGCTACGTAGCTTGTTGGCCGTAGCCCTGCCGATACCAACAGGGGCCCCTATGTGCAGATCCTTGGTGCGAGCCCTATTGCTAGGGAACCTGCCCTCAGCAAGGCGGCGCAGCTGCTCACGATAGCGCGGCCCTGCCTGAGCCCCGCGGCACGGCCCCAGCATCTTAGCACTGGGCATAAGGGCAGAGAAAAAACCTCCGCATCGAAAACAAAATGTGAAAGTCTCGGCAGGGCGCTCAACTATGTGGGTACATAAAAGTGCATGCCCGCCGAGGCGCAGAGCTACTCCACAGTATTGGCTCCACGACCCGTCCCATACGAATTCTAGTTCAAGCTCACTCTGGCTGCCCAGGCGCAGGCAGTCTGCTGCGTCGGTCTGGCCGCCGACGGTCGACTCGGAAGCGCCAGCGGCAGCGGCCGGAATGGCGGGCGGCGCATCCGCGCCCGCCGCTCCACTGAGGGCCCCTCCTGCAGGGAGCGCTGGTGGGGAACTGGCAGGGCCCAGCACGTCCTCGTAGTCGTTCATGCCGTTGTCCACCATGACGCCCTGCAGCTCGCCGAACCAGCGGGCACTCTCGCGAGCCAGCTCCTCAAAACCCTTCCACAGGTGGACCTCCCTGCCCGTGATGCCCGTGTGCATGTGGGCCCCGAGTTTAGCAAAGTGGTCCACGGCATCGTTGGCCTCCCGCTCCCAGTGCGTGGACCTCCCCGCGTCGACATCAGCGGACGTGGCATGCCCAAGAGTCTTGTGAACTATCAGGTCCCCTAAGCTGAAATGTCCCCACACTCGGCCCCATAGATGAGGTCGTTGGTCCTGCGGCCTGGCACCAGCCCCAGGCCCGCCCTGCAACGTGTCGACGGTCCCTTGGCAGTCGATGTAAACGTCATGGGTGCCTGGCCAGACGAGGTCGCAGAGCATGAAGATGGCGAAATCCTCTCCGTCTCTAGAAGTCTGCCGCGGGCCAGCCCAGAAAGGGACTGGCCCGTAGGCGGCAGACACCATGCGTCCGAACCGATCGACCTGGATAACCGCCCAGCCAGCGCGGGCCAACTCAGGGATCTCCATATGGAACGCGCTGCCGTCTGTGAACAACGGCCCATGCAGCAATCCATCGGCTGGACGGTTGACCCACGAAATCAAGTCGGCGGGATCCACACGAGGCAGCAGAGGCGCTGGTGAAGGTAAGACTCCTCGGGCAAACCTTTCTGCGCCTTCCACGCTCCACTCGCGCACGCGGGCAGCCCGGAGCAGATGGCGTGCTCCAACCCGCTCTCGTCGCAACTGTTGGTGCGCCGGGCACTCGTAGCAGCGATGCCACACCGTGCCGAGGCCGCTCCGGCAACGCGTGCAAAGGCCATCCTGCACGAGGCCGTGGCCAAGCAAGCGGGCCTGGCTCCAGATGGTGTTGCAGATGCCGGCCCTCAGAGCCCGCTGCTGACGCTGCGTCCAGACTGAGGTCACGCGCTGAAGGAGTGGTCTGAGACCGCTCCAAAACACTGGAAGAGCACCCGGATGATCTGGCCCACCAGCCTCGCCCCCTGCGGCCGCGGCCGCGACGCCCGACCCGACCCTGCAGAGGGCCATTCTGTCAGAGGCCCGGACAGCAGCAGCCTCCACCAGGGCCCTGAGCTGGTGCGGCGAAGTGCGATGGAGATCGTACTGCTCAGCCGTGTCGGTCCGGACGACGGTGCTGCTGACCATCTTCCAACCAACGCGGTCTAGGGTGAGGACCAAGACGTCTGCTGGAGAGCACGCCACCCGCCAGGGGGACTTCGAAGTTGCGAGCTTCCGCTGGCCGTGCTCCAATGTCACCTGCAATACCCTGGCTGCCACTGCTCCAGACCACACCGCCTCGCACCACTGCTGGAGCACCTCCGCCGTGTTCAGCACGAGCGGGTCCACGCGGCTTCCACTGCGGTACGAGTGAAGACGGAGCCCCACGCTGGCGCCCTTGGGCAGCCGACCCATGCTGGTGACCGCACTCACCCTCAGGCCGTGGAGCTGGGACGGCGGGAGGCCCATGACGGCCCCGCCCCATAATCCAGAAGATGTAGCCCCGAGGCGATGAGCCATGGTGACGTCAGCTCCTGCTTCGCGAAGAATGGCATAACGATGACCGCGTCGTCGGGCTGCAGCCTGGCGCACACTGGTCGCCGCAACGCGTCGCAGCGCCCCCATGGTGATGTCACCGCCCAGGCTTTTAGCCCCATCTACCCTGGCTGCTCGGAGGCCGGCGGGTCGGGGGACCGATGTCGAGCGGCTTTCGGCTGGGCGGGCGT